GTATCGATGAATTCGCCGCGGTCAGACCAAAAATCTTCAGTGAGTGCTTAGCCACTAAGCCGTTATGGAATGGTATCCACTTTCAACTTCAATTAATTTGCAGCATTGTCTCCCAACTACTTCATTCGACACGTCTGAGCTTCACTGGTCACTAGAACTCCATGAATTACCCTTCGAAATTGGCCACTAGTAAGAACATAATTTTTACTAGTATTAATGTAAGCGGTTTGTAGGGTTTGCTGATTTTTGAATTTACAACAAAAATAGATTAATTAGACAACTATTGAAAATCCGGAGGCATGTTACTGCATATTTCGAAGTTAGCACCCGATCTCCTGAGTATCATACAAATTTCTGTACAATGACACACGGTTGTTAACAGATAAGTACCTAGCCTACAATATAGAATATAATATTATTTGGTAAAATATTTGTTTATTCGTTATTTTACGAACCTTCGAACTTTTTACACCGTCGTACATTTATTTTCATTGTTGTAAGGTTGTCTATCCACTTTTTGATGAGTCTAATACTATCTTTAATGTGAGACTGCAAACATATACTTGTGCAGTATTTCATGTTATTGTGTACTCTAAAAATATACTGCCCGGACACAAGATGACATCTTTGTAATCATATTGAAAATCAAGGGAACAGAAAAACTGGAATATCAAAAGAATTAGTTGATGTCTTAAAATTATCTGTCGAGTAATTCTTGACGCACCACATGTAGTCTTTGCTACCCAGGCGCAGATATGTCGTGTGCATTCAAAACATGATTTTATGAATTTGGGTGGCAGAGGGTCGATACATAAATTGTGGCTTAACGTTCAGAAAAAGTTACATTAATTACTAAATTGTATATTAACACGTTTACCGAACAGAAAATAAATAAGTTATAGTAAGATCATTGTTGACTAAAGAAACACTTTACCTAATTTTCTTACTCATTATTTCAAAAGGATACAGTCGGATATCTCGCAATACCTTGGTAACTTGTAATTTCCGTTATCCCACTTTTGTTCTCATCTTTGAGCTTTACCCATCTTACTACTGAAATTAATTCTCATTTTCTAGAATTCCCACACTAACATATTTGTTTAATTCGACATTTTATAGTCTTCCTATATTTATTGTCATCTGGCTAATCTTCGTTATTATGACATAAAATACGTACATTGATTGCAGTCAATTATTATTTCTAGGCTGTAAGAAGCTGAAAAGAAATCACGAAATAAATGAATTCATCATATTCTACTACGTTTGTCGTTCTTGCTCTAGACAAAAACAATTTCCATCATCCCTTAATTGATAGACGGATATCTCACCCTCGCCATAGGTGATGTAAGTTGGCAAAAGCCAAACGAGCTTTTTGAATCCGTGTAGGAATTTCGTCTAATACTAACCACCCATTAGGGCCGATCAGACTTAAAAGATAAGCGAGGTTGTCGACGCGTTTGACTACCTCACTCCCACAGGATTTATTGTCTAAACTCAAAATTTACATTCACGGTGGTTAAATCATTAAAATCTCCAGGTCCTATAACACATTCATACTAGGACCAAGTGTTTGAGGATTGAAACTCGGTATAAATGAAGAATAAAAACCACAAATCGACGGCATTTTAGTGCTCCACAAAAGTCACGAAATATTTCATAGAATATATTTAAGTAAGAGTTGAGTACAAGGAGCAATATTCATTTGTATATTCCATAAATTATGTTGTAGATCTTATTTCGAAAACAATGAATATAATATGCAGGGCACAGAAAGTCGATAGTACGGTTGACTTGAAATGAAAATATCAATTGCCCACAAATCACATATACAGTGTATTTAGATTTAGATTATTTGAATGTACTTAATTAATCGTAATCAACACAGAATCTGGCAATGTGAATGAACTTGTTGCCATATAAATTAGCATAACGAGATAGAAATTAACGGGATTTGAATGCCTTAAATCTCAGAGTTGCTGCGACGCAGCTAGGGCTTGATGGAGTGAACATTCGAGTCCCACTAGTTCAATGACACATTTGAATTCCGCTACATTTGTTTGCATAAATAGGTTTTGTCTTTATCCATTCGTGATTATTTCGACGATATACTTGTGCTTTTCATAAATCGTAGACTTACGGGACAGCGTGTTCAACTGTGACTTGGCAAAAATTGCTTTGGACACACTCCGTAGGATCCTCCCATATTATCTTAATACCTTGTCCAATACATGAGTATGGCTACCAGCCGGTCAGGTAACAATATCCCATGGATTTGCTTTCAGAAACCTGAGGAAAAATATCTTAAAATTTTACAAGTTAATGAGATTCTAAACAAAAATAACTATCAGTAGATATATAAGAAATTCTGTCTAAATTTGATCGAATAGTTTCACAGTATTTGGGCGCCGAATCGGAGTGAGACATTAAATATATCAGGAGTAAAACAGATATCATACATGTTACCCAAAATCGTTTCTCAACATAAAGAATTGACTGGTGCTTAAAATCAGACTTTTAGAATTCAACTCTCGAAATATGTGGTACGCTAAGATAAAAAAAGAACAAAACCACATATGCAACTCATTGTGGCTTTTGTTCTATATTATTTTAGTTTTTAATTCAACATGATAATTAATCAGCATTGTATTTGTTTTAGTTTCAGTGCGATATTTATTTGTAGATACTAATCAATCTATGCACACTAGTGACTGGCTTCAAGATGTATATCCTAAAGTTCTAGTGAGAAGCAGTGACAAGTGGATTTCAACCAGGTCTGTTGTGAGATAGTAACTCACTGATGGATGTATCACTCAATTTCGTGGATTATTTGAAGTTAGACATTAACACCGTTGGATGGCGGCCCAGTGGTCTAGTGGTTAAGCGCACGCGCGCGAGACTTATAGGCCTTGGGTTCGAACCTCGCGGGGGGCGGGATCGTAGATGCGCACTGCTGAGGAGTCCCACAGTAGGACGAAACGGCCGTCCATTGCTTCCAGGTTTTCTAGCTTCAACTGAATCATGATATTAACCATTGAAATTACTATAATATCCACAATACCCCTTCTGATATTAATCAATGAGTGTTAGTAAAATCAACATATGTGTGTTTTTGTCTAAGGACGACGTGTTTTAAGAACATTTAGACAACTAATAAATCTTTATGTTTGCACTACTCATCGTGTGGAATGACAAAATCCTCGTTTTCAATGCATAAGGAAAGATATTACAAGAAAGCTTAAAACAATATTTAAATCTTCATGATTTAATCGTGTTCAGATACCGTGTGTATCGATTAAACTTCGGAAATTAAGAGAAAAATAGCTATAACCAATTTCATAAAATATGTAATTCAATTGATTCATACAAAGAGAAAGCATAATATATTTATGTTTCTTACATATATATCAGTCAGTCAGTAACAACGCAGAACTTCGTAAGTACGTACATCGGTTCGAGTTGCCATACCACACTAGCAAACAGATACAATTGTCGATTCAAACCCCATAATGGTAGATGTAGTAAAAGTATAAGGAGTCATCGGAAACATTAGGGTTTGAGGAGGTTATTCAAGGAGTATAATCCAGTGAAATAAATTTGGATAGTGAAAAAAAGGACATAAAGAATTCAGAAGATTAGAATTTGAGAGAACAAAAAGAATGGATACATCTCCGCCATTTCAAACGATTTTGAGCCATGTCATTCAACGTCTCTAACCCTCGGTTGCTATAATCTCACGGATCCCAACCAGGTAGACTACACTTACCAACATAGCTTACTCCACTTGTTAGTGACTTTATGGATTTGTGCTGTTTTGGTCTGACCACCCGTAGCTTACTATATACAAACGTGTGTATCATTTAATGAATTATACCACTTTTCAAAATGATAAACAATTATTTTTACTTTAATGATCATTTAAAATCTAAATTGAATGTATTCAATTTGTGATGATCCAAAATCTGTAGAAATTATTATCGGTTAAATGTTCTAGTTGTTCAATTAAAAAAGTAACAATACTTTAATATAGAAAGAGAGAATAAAACAACAACAATTAGATTTCAGATATTTGTTTCACGTTAATAAATCTAAATCTAAGAAATATTTTCGGCAAGACTATAATTTATGAATGAACTAATCAGGTTTAAGATAATCGATCTTAGATTTTAGCGCAAAATTCATTCAACTATTTGGTTAAATAGAGTTTTTGGTATTTTACCTAATATCAGCAACGTGATGAAAACCTTAAATTTAATTGCTGATTCTAATCATCTATTATAAATCATAATCTTTATTCTTTACACAGGTTTATAACTCTTATTTAGTTCGAGTAAGTTTGTAATGTCCGTTACTATGTTTAGCCCTCATACTAGCCTCTGGACAGGTCAATTTATCCAATCTTCTTAAGTCATGTTTTGATCTTCTTAATTATTCACTTATCAACCCTGACTGTTTTTTAATGAGCGTATGTGTATGCACCTCTTATCCTACTCATCATATATCTGTAGGTTATTTTTGTGTAACTATAAATATAGATTAACGCTTGGTTAAATGGAGTTGACTCATACGCCTTTTCCACTGCGCCTCGTTTCGCTTCACTCTCTTCTCTTTGATAATCTAATCTTTTATCTAGATAAAAGATTGTACGAAATACACCTATTCGAAATTCATTCTCGTAATTGACTTACATAATTCCATTATTCACTAACATAGACTAAGTCAATAATTATATATGAGAATAATTTGGAAAATATATTTCGATAGCAATCATTCAATAACGATCATTTGTCCAATCTAACTACAGTCAGAATTAGGGCTACAAAAGTGGTGATCCCATCGATAACATCATCCGATCTAACTGACATCAAAATAAGGGACCCCATAAGTTGATAGACATCTTCAAAGTCACTTACGGGTCGTTCATAACTTTTCTCAATTGTAAATTTAATAATAATGAAAGAAATTAAGAAATGAAATTCATTCCAGAAAAAAAAAACACACAAAATAAACCGAAATATATTACTTATTCAATTTAATCTCATTAATTGTGATTTAAAATTTACATTAATACAAATATTTCTAGAATTATTTACTAAATTATAAGCATTATCATATGAATAATTATAAAATTTCATTAAATAAGCAATTATAATAGATGGTGAACGTGAAATACCAGCTTCACAATGTATAAAACAACAACCCTTAGTTTGTTTTACAATATTTAAAAAATTAAAACAATCATTCAAAATATCATTTAATTGAAATGTTAAATTATCATAAGCAATAAGTGATAAATAATGAAAATATTCAGGAAAATAATTTGGTATTATATTTGAAATAAGATTAATGATATGTGTAACATTATTGTTGTTTAATAAATTTAAATTTTGAGCTACATCAACAGAACCTACAATGAGAAAACATGTAAACATATAGATAATCAATTAGCAAAAATGTAGAACTTCATACATACATACGTACATTGCCTCCAAATATCCTGGTACGGCTGAGAATGGGAAGAGTTAGCTTTCCCTCTCGAAATGCTTTCACATAGCCACCGCCAGGGAAGTCCTACACACTGCCTTCTCGTGGCGGTGTTGTTTACGAAACTGAGAGGACGAAAGGCAAATGTCCACCGCTTTAACCTGGTCGGTGGACATGGAGAGTTCACCTAGGGAAGTTGGAAAACTTTGATTCCAAACCAATGGTGCACATGAACTCCAGTATCCTGAGGGAACAAATGGTGTATGAACCAATCGTTGGTCACCGGCTTCCATGGGACTTTATTTCCTTACGATGCTCCACTGCCTTGTGGATCAGACCTTCAGGTCGAAGGCTCCAGGTGTGTCTCCCCAAAAAACCACCTACTTCAGTTTGGGCACCTGGGTAGTATCACAGCTTTCACACAAATCAAATGAGATTTGTGTGGCGCATATGTATCTGGTGCCCCCTTGTACCAATACCTGTGTTCAAATAATAATAATAATAAACGTACAGCAATTCGAGTTGCCATACCATATTAGCATGGAGATAAAATTCTCAATTAAAAATCCCATAATAATAAATATAGTAAAAGGTATAAATAGTAATTGGAAAGATTATGGTTATTAATAATTTCATATATATTCAATCAAATTAACTTACCAAATAATATTTTAAATTCTGGAAGTTCTATTTTTCCTATTTGTAAATCCAGATTAAAATTTGGAATAAAACCATAAGAAGAAAAATCAGATTCTAATTGATTAGATTTATCATTTTTTTCAATTTCTAATCCATATTTATTCATTTTAATAATTGATCCATCTAATTGTCGAACTTCTATAAGTGTTGGTTTTAAAGAATTCATATTGAAACATTGAATAGCATCTTTTATATTATTCATAATTTGTTTTATTGAATTGAACAATTTCGGCAAATAATTTGATTTAAATGTAAATTATTATATAACATGATTTGAGAATATTTAATTCTATAAACATTTAATAAATTCATCATATTAAAATTACTTTTCTTTTTTGAACAAATTTAAATTTAATAAATTTTTTGTGTCAGGTATACTGAAATTTCGTTCTTATTGTTACCCTTAACATTATTGTTGTTTGATTAGTTTATTCATGTTTTAGTTAGCCTATCTCTAAGGGTATTGTAAGTGGATGTATATAGAATGGTTATGCCTTTGTTTTATCTTATCTTTTAGTCAAGGTACTTCAGCCTAAATGAGTCTAGAAGTGGATAAATGTTGTTATTTCCAACAACCATGGCATCCAGTATTTCAGAAGACGAGATTTCTAATCCAGATATAGCAATTTACATAAATTTATGGTCAATACTAATATTAAAAATATCAAGGATTGATAATAACTTTTCCAACTACGGGGCAAAAAACTAATGTTAGTTGTCAACAGTAATATGAAGCTTTTAGTAATTCAATCTAAATACATTTCCACAGGATAACCGTACGCTAACAGCATAATGATAACCCACTCTTATCATTTAAATCAAGACAGAATGGTGAATAAGTGATTACACGAGTCACAGTTCAACTACTATCGAGAAAGTTCAAATACTATTACACTTGATCTAGGAAAACATTTATAACTGCCAGACGTTACAAAGTGTAGCTCAAACCTGAGAATATCAACCCAAGCTACCCACGTTGCTATAATACAAAACCATTAATGAGCATTTTGTAGAAAATTCAGGATATCTGTGTAATTTTATACAATAACTAATTCAGACAAGCTATCACTGAAGTTGTTAAAAAGTTTGATAGTTATATATGAGTGGTGTTACGTTCAGACCACCGTTTACTGTGCACAGTTCAAAGAAAATCGCCAACAAAGTAATTAAGGATATAACTTTATGTTTACTCTTATATTTGTCCTTGCAATCATATCTAGAATAAATTACATATTCTGTACAATATAGATTCGCAGTAACTTCGTGAATACAATTGGTCAGGGTAAGGAACTATCATTTGGTATCTCTGACCTCATCAATAGTAAAAATTGAGATATGAATGGCAAGAAAAACTAGCCATTAAGAACATCAAAACCCAATAGTTTAGTTGCATTGAAATACTCACAAACTGTTTTTTGTAGGAGAAACTTGGCACAGTAAACTTTGTGTTTACGGAAGCATAAAAAATGTGGTGAGGTGTATTTGAGTCCAATCCGGTATTGTTGATTATCTTGATTTTAGTTACATCGAGAACTAATTCCCTTCGATAGATAATCAAATATTTGTTTATTAATTTGTATATGATCTCTTTTTAACAACATCTGCAACCAACCATAACACTTTTGAAACATATGTCGCATACGAATAACTAGTAATTCATATCGAAACTGCAACTTTGTAAGGTTAATAACCGTGACAAAATCTTAGGTGTTATAGTTAGGTTATCAAGATATGTTTGGATTTAGCAGGGTAACTAAATATTTTTACGCACTAGACATAATTAAATTGATTTATTTAGAAGAACGACTCATTAATACATTTTACGAAAATATTTACCAATAATATCTACATACTAGAGACAGCTAAACGTAAGTAGTGTAACGGTTACAAATTTGGCAGTAAGTCGATGTCGAACTTGAGATGTACACTTTTCCCTAACGTGTCTACGGATCTAACTTCTGCCGAAACATTTCCTGAAAAATAGTGCATACTGTCCCCAAAATTCATACCCCATAATGAGGAAAAAGACTTTTCTCTTAAATTAACATATGATTCCCCTCTATTCACCTACAGTTTTCCACTTTTTTGTCACTTGGGGGTTAAATTTATGGTAGGAAAGGCATACTGAGACCTCTTATTCACGATCTAGCCGAGCTTTAACTTAAACTTACCTCGTAACCTCTTCAAACTTCCGTAAAATCTAGATCGATGGCAGACCATTGGGTTTGACACAGTTGGCTGACACTCATCTCTTATAAGTCTCTTGATGTACAACATGATATGTCTAAAGGATATGTTGACATTATATAGACTGCACTAAAAGAATAATCGAAAAATTTTATAACAAGCGAAGCCCACATACATGGGGCTCAAGTTAAGTCACCTGTAACGTTTAGCCTCAGGAGGGTTTTCGTTTGACTTGAAGGTACTTTATCTGCTGAAGGAGTGGAAGTCAGTCAATCAACTACAACGTACGACCAGGCATACATATACATCGGTTCAATTTGCCAAACTGATTAGCACAACAAGATGAACAAAGAATTCATATATGAATTCGTTGTTCTATTATAGTAGTTAATTCAATGGAGGTTATATATAAAAGAAAAATTGTGTATAGAAATATAGAACAGGAATAAAGAATAAGTTCGTAGCAAGAAAGATACACAGCAATTTCTATCTCATAGCTTAAGGAAAGACAAAGAATATATATACACATAATAGCGATCGATTCTGAGCAATGTCATCCAGTCTCCAACCACTGGTTACGATAGTCACACGGACCACAACCAAGTATTCTGGATTAACACTGGCATTTCTTACTGTACATGAACTTACGTGCTACAAAGCAGTCTGCCCCACGAAAGTTACAAAACAACTAATAATAAGGAATTACATTCTTCGAATTCTAAAGCCTAATAGATATTACTGGGTGGGTTGCAAACAAACTAGTCACCACAGCAGATAAACGGAATTCAAGCAAACAAGGAACCTATACACTGAAACACTAAAAGATAGCCTCATTATCAAACAAAACTAATCGAATTATTTGTCCCTAGTCCGAAAAGCTTAGTCTGTCATGCAGACTATCTTCGGAAAGACAAAGTCGAGGTTTCCCAGCTGTAAGACCCTAATGGCCCAACCGACAACGATAGTGGTGCTGCAGAAGTCCTGGTGATACAGTATTAAAGGCACGGGAAAACGTCAGAGCCTTTCGAAGCTGCCCGCTCTTTCGTTTCAACGACCTTGAACGGCCTGACAATAGGCGGTCATTCCGTATCTCGATTGCCGTGGGATTGTTGGGTTGCATGGGTATCAAGTGTTTTCATATTTTTCATATTGCTGCGTTAAAAAGCACAAGATAACCGCCAAAAGCATTAATTTAGCGTTCTCTGTTTTGTAGTGTACACGTTGACTCTACTGTCGCTTCGTAACTTGATCTGTGATCCCAAATGCTGTAGTAAACCTCAGCGAAATGTCTTAAATATTTGTAGCACGTCCTTAGGTTATTATTGTCTCAAGGTATAACTTTTTTAGTAATAATGATTTCGGTTTTAAGTGCTTCATGCTCAGGTGACATTTCAGTCGAACTTAGCGATGCTTTTCAAAGTATGATACTGAAGGGCTATTCAAAAAGGACAGTGGTATTTTTCTTCGCTGAGTAAATTTCATTGTTTTGATCGTTTATTGCTTATCAAGACTACTGTTTTCACTTTAACTGAATTCATTTCAGTTAAAGTATTCGAATAGAGTATCGTTTTTACCGTTCTCTCATTTAGTTTTATCGTTGGTACTCTTTAGTACCTCATTTTCAACTCTGTCTGTTAGTGCTTTTGATCCTAACAATCTACAGTTCTTCACTTTTTGGTCATTGATTTTTTTTGTTTCTGAGTATCATCGCGTCTCGTTCCTTTTTGAAAAGGACTCCTCTTAAATGACCGGACAGTGTATAAAAAGCAGTTGCCAACGTCCGAGTTCTCGTTATCCCGTTGAAAGCGGCATGCAGTGTGACGAGTGCAAAGGCTGGCACCACGAAGTTTGTACGAACTTAACGCCTGCTGCTTTCAAACGGTTCAGTAAGAAGGGTTGCGTATGGCTTTGTCAACAGTGCTGTTCGGATGCAAACAGCCTGTTAACCGAGGCCATCTCATTGGTTGATGCTGCAAATAAGTGGTTTAGCAAGCGTAGTCGGAACACGTCAAACAGCACTCGATCTGTCGACATGCAAATCGAAATGAAGCAAACTAAGGTTAGTTCGATGACAGACTCACGCCGGTCAAAGAAAGAAAAGCAGTCTCCAAAGGGGCCTGTCTTAAACAAAATCTCAAGGAAAGCAGGTTCTTCTGTTCCCCGTCTCCCAGATGGGATCCCACAGCAAACGCCTAGAAGCCGCAATCGCAAGGCTCGATCGGTTTCAAGCGGTAAACATAACCTGATCTCTCAGGTCGTCGAAAACCCCCAGAATCCAACACTAGGTTTGACGCAACTGTCGTTGCTTCTCCTAGAACGGTTGACGAATGGGTACAGGTTGTAAGGAAGAAAATAAGTAGCGATATTAAAGGCAATCCTACCCCCGCGAAAGTAGTCGTAAAATCAAAAACTGATCATAGCGACAGATCAGTTATTTTTCATAGAATCAAGGAGAGCGAGAGCTCTGAACCTAAAGCTCGTTTTGAGCATGACACTGTGCTGAATAAGCAGGTGCCTAATCAACTCATGCCTCAAAATATCACCGGGGTCACCTTGCTAAAGGTGTACAGACTGGGGCGTCTAGCGGACTTGAAACCAAATCATTCTAGACTGCCTAAAGTAGTATTCAACTCTTCGAACAAACGTGATCTAATTTTACAGAATGGACACAAATTAAAAGGTTCAGGAGTCTTTATACGAAAGGACTTACCGTTGGCAAACCGTGTAAAAAGACGGGAAGCCGAAAAAGAACTACAACTTAGGTTAGACGCTGGCGAAAAGGACCTAAAAATTGTAAATTTTCGGGTTGTAAGGCTTCGACAGAGAGTGATACCGAAGCCACTCTGGGTGAAGCAAGAAGCCACTTAAACAGGCTTCGGATCTGTTACACCAATGCACAAAGCTTACTCAATAAGCAATCAGAACTAGGTGTACAGGTTGACTCTACGAAGCCAGACATAATCGCAGTAACAGAAACCTGGCTAACACAGGCTATAGATAGTATGGAACTTGGTTTCGAGGGTTTTACGTTAGTAAGGGCTGACGGAACACAAAAGCGCAAAGGAGGGGGAGTATCTCTATTCATTAGGAGTGCTATCCCGTTTGCCATTATTGACAGTGTATCCCATGAGAATGGGACGTGTGAATTAGTTAGTCTTCGCTTGAAATGCAAGGGACAAGAGCTGCTGATTGGTTTGGTCTGTCGCAGTCCAATCCTAGGTAACCTTAATGCACCTATGGTAGACTGGAAAAATCTGCGAACTAAATCGTCGGAGAATTCTTTCGAGCTGGAACTAGTTGATGGGGTTATCACATGTGCTCTAGTGCAACATGTGAAAGAAGCGACAAGGTGCGATCCGGACACTGAATCGTCCCTACTAGATCTTATACTGACTCACTATGAGTATGACGTTGCGAACCTTCATTGTATGCCACCCCTAGGTAAAAGTGATCACGCAGTTTTAATTTTCGAATTCCATATAACTGTCAGTCACGAGCACGCGTCAGTGCAATCCAGACCAAACGTCTAGAAAGCAAACATACCAGACATCATGCACTCAGCATCGTTAGTAGATTGGACAATAGACCCAGAGTCCTCCATTGAAACGGCCTGGGACGCGTTTCGAAAATCATACTTAAAAGTTACCACACCTCACATCCTTCTCCGTAAGAGAAGGAAAGTGTGGGATAGATTTAGGTTACTGGGGACTGATTAGACAAAATCTCAGTATCGAAAAGCTCGGAATACTTGTGCCTCGACACTCCATAAGTCTAGAAAGTTGTACGAAGAAAAACTTGTTAAGGAATCCATGGAATTTCCTAGACGCTTGTATTCCTATATAAACAAAAGGAAAACGAGAAGAGGAAATATTCCTGCTCTATGGGGAGACAGTACTTCCGCATCATTAGTGGAAGACGAATTTGGTAAGGCTCAAGTGTTCTCGAACTACTTTAGCAATGTATACACCATAGAAGCACCCTTCCCATCAGCGTATACAGATCCCCCCATACATACACTGGATAGCGTGACCATTAAAGAACTCGATGCCTTTGGTCTGCTAAATAAGCTTGACATAGGTAAGTCCACGGGGCCCGATGAATTACATTCTAGGCTACTGAAGGAATTATCTAACTTCGTTGCAAGCCCTTTAATTATATGCTTCAATCTATCCGTTACGCACGATCGTTTACCAAAAGACTGGAAAAACGTGTTATGACCTTGAAATCGCTTTTACCCCGTGATACTTGTTATGACTTCACCTTGATCTGTTTAGACTAAACTGTGACCTTGACGCGCTAGGCTGAGTGGCTTAACCTTGAGTCTAATACGCGTGAGTTCGATCGGGGTAGAGAGAACTATTCTAAATCCTGATTGGTTGGCAAGCACGCGAGTGAAAGAAGACAAGACAGTTGGGACACTAAACTCTGGATTCTCTGAATTCAGATTACTACAAAAATGTACATGAATAAATAAGTGAGTATCTTGACCACGACGTACGATAATTTGGAAAAATACAGTTATGCCCGAAACAGGGAATTAGGGTAGAAAATATAGTGCAAAATATTATGTTTAAATTACAATATTTTTGGAACAAAAAAGGGTATGCTAGTGAATGATACATAGAACGAAAGCTCGTGTTATGTAGAATAAGATAGGGACAAAAATAAATATAAGTGTTTTACAGGTTTTGAATGAAATGCAATTACGTCCCAAGAAAATAGCTTTCGTAATTGTCTGGGCTTCTTAATTCCCCGTTCGTAACAAAACGCCATGGTAAGTCCTGTCTTCAAAACAGGTACGAAACACAAACCTGAGAATTACCGCCCCGTTAGCCTAAGTAGTGTGGTTGTTAAAATCCTAGAAAAGATTATTCGGAAAGAGCTGTTTAAGTATCTCAATAAAAACCGGATCCTTTTGGAGAAGCAGCACGGTTTCAGAATAGGTTATTCTTGTCTCACTAACTTATTAGTGGCTCGTGAAAGCTGGTGCGCTCTTAAGGACCAAAAGTTACCTGTAGACGTAGCCTTCATTGATTTCAGCAAAGCTTTTGATAAAGTTCCGCACAGCCGGCTGTTATATAAGTTAAGAAATGTCGGGATTAGAGGCAATTTATTGATGTGGATAAAAGACTTCTTAGTTGGGCGTCAACAAAGAGTTCGGGTGAACTCGAGGTTATCTAGCTGGGGAACTGCGCTTAGTGGAGTGCCCCAGGGCACAGTTTTGGAGCCAGTGCTATTCCTCTTGTATGTAAATGGACTTCCTTGTCTCCTATCATCATCGGTCTTGCTATATACTGACGATGTCAAGATATGGAGAACGATACGATGTAAGAGTGATAGCTTAGAACTTCAAAATGACCTGAAGAAATTATCTGAATGGTCTCAAACATGGCAGTTGCCGATAAATACTTCCAAGTGTGTTATGATGCATATCGGTCATCAAGGCACAGATACATACACGATGAATAACACTGAGCTACCTGTCGTCCAGACATATAGTGACTTAGGAGTTATCGTTAGTCAAGACTTAAAGACTACTGCACATTACCGTGCAATAGCCGCCAAAGGTTTTAGAACGTTATGGTCAATACGTAGGGCTTTTAGTCATGTCGACGCTAAACCGTTTTTGACTTTGTATACAGTGTTCGTACGTCCTAAACTTGAGTTCTGCACACAAGCGGCCAGTCCCTGCCTAAAAAATGACAGTGAGCTTCTGGAAAGGGTTCAGAGAACGGCGACTAATCTGATTCCCGGAATAGCGAAGCTTCCGTATGAAGTTCGACTGGCCAAGCTGAACCTTTTCCCGTTGTCATATTAAAGAACTAGAGGCGACTTGATTACAGTTAATAATAATAATAATAATAATAATTTATTCTCAAATAACAGTTTGTTACATGAGGCATGCCAGTTTACAGGCAAGATCAAATTGATACAAATGATACAATATACACTGTATTAAATTACATAGCTGGGTCGAAAATTTATAAGACATGAATGTAGATTGTTTTAATCAGTACTATAGTTGGCGCGCTTCACGAAAGTTGCGTTGCGAATGTGCGACTGATGGTCAAGAATAGGTCCATTGAAGGTATGAGCTTCTAGAAATTGCAACCTTATGTCCCTTTGGGATATCCAAGGCTTTAAG